TTGCAATATTTTGTTTGGCTTGACTTTGAAGCTCTCGAATTTACGTAATCACGTGAACATGCCACGCTTCTTTCCCGTATTAGATTTTGACAAGTTGGCCAATTTACGTGACATGTTTTCCTCGTCGTCTTCCTCGTGGAAGACGCAGTCCAACTTGTCGGGCGGCAACGAAGAAGCCGGGCTCAACCAGATGGTGGTGGACACAACCCCGTCGTAAATTGGTTAAATGGGCTGAAACAGCAGGCGGAGCTGCTGGTTTTGACCGTCTCCGAATTCAAACACTGGACTGAAGCCCACAGAAACCTCCCCAACCTGCTTGTAAACACCCTGTCAATTCATTTATCTCTTCATCCTCCTCTCTATATAGCCATCCCTTCACATGCAGTCCTTTACGTGCCATTCCATCGCAAGTAAAACTTCAGCGAGTCGATCATCTTCCGATGGGTCGTTGGGTGAGGCCAGAGGTACGTGAGTCTTCCTTTTCCTTCCCTTCTTCCCCTCCACGCCATGGATCATCGTCTTACGGCGGAAGCTCTTTGTGATCTCGACAGGTTTTCCCGCTCATGGCGGCGATGACCTTCGTGACGAGTATGTGCGTGTTCCAGCTCACGCGGAATATGCTCATGAACCCTGATGTCAGGTAAGTCGACGCATTTCTCTCCAATCCTTTGCAGTGTGATCGATCAGACTTTATCCGATAGTACCTGTTAGCTAAGCAACGAGAGTTCTTTCTTTGCCTTGCAGGATCAACAAGACGAATCGCACCACAGCGGTGCTCGAGAACGCAGAGGAAGGTGAGAAGTATAGCCAACACAGCCTGCGCAGGTTCCTCAGCCATCGCCCCCCCGAAGTGTTTCCGGCTCTCAATCGCTTCTTCTCCAGCGCTGACGAATAGAGTAAAGCCAGCAAAGCAAGTATATGGTAGGATTGCAAGTGATGTGTCATGTCCATGTCTCTAAACTCTAGATTTGGAGTCCTCAGTTCTCTAACAAGTCTGTATTGTTGAATTCTTATTAAAGGAATAAACTAAGTTGTTATCGGAAGTTAATTATTTTTTATTTAGATTAACTAAAATTGTTATGGGAACCGCTGTCGGTTTTAATAGGCTTTTTACAGTGCGTGTTGAACCCTTTAATTAGATTTGAAATGAATTCAGATAAGAAAAATAGAAATCTAAATTAGATTTCGTATAAAATTCATGCATATCCATTATTAAATGATAATTAAAATGAGTGAACTTTTTTTGATACATGCATCAAACTCGCCTATTTAATTGGGGCTCTAGAAAGAAAATTAATTTCGTATTTTAAGAGCATTGACCCTATCAAGTCTTATGTTATTAAGGGAGTTTAGTGCGTCAGACGTCGTTGACGCGGAGCCCAGTTAGCCAATTTATACGGGCATGCACCTCTAACATGCTGAGGTGGCAGCATGCTGGGCGTCGGATTTTAGATGTACGATCAGGAGGGTTGCTTTTACGGAAACTGTTGCTTCGTAGTGGTCAGAATGGTCGAACCAGTTGACTCTCCTACAGTTACGCCTTCAGCGGAGAAGACGAAGCAAAAGTTCGCTGCCCACCCGTTTCGGCGTTGCCGTCTGAGTTGTTCGCGTGTGATTGGTTAAAAGGCTGGGCCCGAAGTGGGGCACCGGTAGTTTCCGATTCATAAGAAAGGTTAATGAGTGGGTGATTCACCGGGAGTGACAGAAAGCACGGCCGTCCAGTTGGCGGACCCGGTTTCCCGTTGATGTGTCGACGCGTGTCCTTCCTGCGGGCGCCTGCAATCCAGAACGTCCGTTCTCCGCCACTGTGTAACCGTCCATCTCCCCGGTAAACGTGGCACTCGGTGCTCCGATCTCTCCACAGATAAAAAGACTGTAAAGCCCTCGCTTCGAAGCGGAAGTCGTAGTTGCCGACTCATGGGCAAATGCGTATTTCTACACAGAATCTGGAGGCAGACACCAACGTAACTTTCCGTAACCCGAAGGCTTTAACCGCAGGTGAGTGGCGAATATAAAATTAATCGGGGTTTATTTTTTGAAACGGAGAGTTCCAACTGCTATATAACCGCTCGCTCTGACGCTCTTCTTCCCTCGCATCCCCGTATCTCGCTCTCATCCTCATTCCACGCCCGTCTACCTAATCCCTCGAATATCTCACCTTTCTCGCTTCGCTGATCCAATGGGTTCCTCCCAGACGATGGACTCTGCTTTCCACCTCTTCCTTCTCCCGAATGCGTCGGCTCTGCCTTCGATTGCGGCCGTTATCGTCTTCGCCATCTCTGTCCTCTGGCTCTACCCAGGCGGCCTCGCGTGGGCGCTCTCCAGAGCCTACCGATCTATCCCCGGACCCCCGCCTCTCCGGTTCCGCCGCGCACCGTGTCCTCGCCAGGCTCGCCGAGTCGCTCAAAGCCTCCGACTTGATGGCCTTCTCCCTCGGCTTCACACGCTTCGTCTTGTCAAGCCACCCCGACACAGCCCGGGCGATCCTCAACAGCTCGGCCTTCGCCGATCGCCCTGTCCCTACGAGCTCCTCTTCCACCGGCGAGTACTGGCGCAATCTCAGGAGGATCACCGCCACCTATCTGTTCAGTCCGACGAGAAGCATAGGAAGGCCATCGGTCAGCAAATGATCCACGACGTAATGGCAAGCACAGAGACGGACGGGATCGTGGGGATAAAGAAAGTTCTGCACTATGGGTCTCTGAACAACGTGATGATGAGCGATGTTGGCAAAAGATTCGATTTTGGGAAGGTCGAAGGCATGGAGTTGGAAAGGCCGGTCACGGAAGGGTATGAACTACTTGGCGCGTTCAACTGGAGCGACCACTTTCCTCCATTGGCATGATGATTTCAAGAAGATGCTCTAAGATACGATCGAAAAGGACTTCTTGCATGCACGAGCATGCGATGATAGGGAGATTTTCCTCGACAGAGTAGAAAGAATTCCTCCTATAGTTAAGAAAAGATAGGACGTTTTTTACTTTCTATTTGAGTAGTTGAAGAAAAAGTAAGAAGAAAATGTGGGAAGTATTTTGAAGAGAAGAAAAGATCTTTGAATCATTTACAACCATTTAGAAAAAAATATATAATCCTTTTATTACTTTCTCCTTATTTATTTTTATAATATTATTCATATATTTTATATTTTATGACATAATACATAGTTATATTTTAATTTTTATAAATAGGTGGGGTAGATGCATGTATCAAAAAAAATATAATAGATATTCATGAATTTTATTCTGAATCTAAACCTAATCTAGATATCTATTTTTTTATTTGAATTCATTTCAAATCTAATTAAAAGATTTAATATGCATTATGAAAAGTTTATTAAAATTGATACCCTTTAGAGGTGTGTGCGGATATTTGTAGGATATCTTTTATTATCCGTATGATTATAAGATAATAAGGGTAAAGCACTCCTCATCTCATCCTTATTTAATTGCCCTTATCTCTTCTTCTTGGTCAAAAGTTAGATCAAGAGAAGATAGATCGAAGGCTTCGATTGTCTTTATCTCTTCTTATTCGGAAGAACTCTTATCTCTTCTTTTTGTTCAAAAGGTCCATGGAAGGTAAGGGAAATCAAAGGCTTTAACTATACTTATCTCTTCTTCTTGTTCAAGGGCAGTTAAAGCCAAGGAAAGATGGAAAGCTGCTTTCATTTCTTTAGACCTGCAGAATAGTTAGGAAATACAAATCTATGGTGTAGATATCCTCGGAAGGAATTAAATGATGCAATATTCTGTGGTAGAGCTGAGTGTCATCTTGGAATCATGGAATCATAGTAGTTCATTCTTAGTCCAGTGTACATCACAAGTGCAAATAAGGTAAAAGTGTATCTTTACATTTCCATGGTGAGCCTTGATATGACCTTAAGGTTGTTCTTTGACAATGGGGTAAGTAAAGTTTGATTCACAGAAAGACAGACATATTTACTGCCAAAAACAATAGATTTGGGAGTAATCTTTAGAACCCAATAATACATGAAAGATTTGCTTTCCATAACTGTGCTAAAGAAAAAGAATACTGAGATATGGCAAATATTCAACAAACTTTCCACTGCGAAGAACAGCAAAACTTTCTGCCACTGCTAAAACCAAAGAGTGAAATTGCGTTTCTTGCTCCGTGGAAGCTCAAACACAAACAGGCAGAAAACAATCATTTTATTGGCAGTGAAAGGCACATTCACTCGCTTCATAAGACCTCATGAGTCCTACATGCCATTCATAAGTTGCAAGGCAAAGTTCGACAGAGCCGTAATTGTAGCTCGAAGTAGGTAAGCAAGTTGAAAGTTTGTGTTCTCATACATGGATTGAAACGTGACAAGTTACTTCATCAGTTGGTTGGATTAGTAGCAACGCTTACCCTAATATCATCTAATTGTCAATGAACTGAAAGATAATGAGAACGAGAACAAAACACGCTCGAGGAGAAACTCCATTTCCACATAAACATCGAAGCTCTGTGCATGACTGTATGCTGAACAGCAAAATAAAACTGGAACTCGATGGGAGACAGGAGCCTAAAATATGCACGTCACATAGAGGACTGAAACCTACAAAGGTACAAAAACCAGGAGATAAGAACACCCAAGCACCAAGCTGACATCAATCATAACTACTTAGAAATGCAAGCCGAGAGCTTGAAGCTTCTTCAGCGTCTGGGGAAGGCCCTACAGACTAAAGGAGTCTGCATCTCGAGGGACATCTTTAAGGACTCGGCCAAGTCCACACCAGTCTCCGCAGGGACCCATTTGAAGCGCTGCAGCAGCTGAGCCAACCAGAGGTGAACAGTGGCCAACGCCAGTGCTTTACCAGGGCACACCCTCCTCCCTGAACCGAAGGGCGCCAGCCTCAGGTCAGAACCCAGAACGCTCACGTTCTCCTCCATGAAGCGCTCGGGTTTGAAGTCGTCAGGGTCCGCCCAGATACGCCCGTCGTGGGTTATCGCCCACATGTTCACCATGGCCGTGGTCCCTGCGGGCACGAAGCTTGGACCGACATGAACGTCATGGACGGCGAGGCGAGCCCAGGAGAGAAGGGGGCCGGGTGGGTGCATCCGAAGCGACTCTTTTACGATGGATCGAAGGTAAGGCAGGTTGGCGATGTCGGCATCCGCGACAAGGCGCGATGATCCGACGACAGCATCGATCTCTGATTGTGCTGTCGACTGTATCTCCTGGTGCAGCACCATCCTGGCCATGATCCATTCCAGAAGTATGGCAACAGTGTCCGTTCCTCTAAAGATCATTTCCTGAGGAGAAGATAAAGAGCGGATATTAGCACTAACAATTCTGAAAGAAAGAAATTGTACACGGTAAAACTTGAGCAGAGTACTAGAGGAGTAACAACAGCCATGTCAAGCATAAAAAACAGCTACAGTCCAAAAAACACACTGCAACATCAAAAAGTAGAACAAGGAAGAATGAAACGTGACATTAATATTGGAAACAACAAGGAAAACTATGGAAAAGGTGCTCACCCACAGAACAGCAACCATATCGGAATCAGAAAGCCTCTCTTCCTTCTCCAAATCTAGCAACACATCTACAAAGTCGCAGACCTCGTTCGTTAAATCTCCACCAGACCTCCTTCGCCTGTGCTCCTCAATGATGCTGCCCACAAACACGTTGACCCTGGCCACCAATCTCCTGCACCTCTTCCTGATATCTTGAGGATCCACCCACCTCAATAGAGGGAAGTGGTCGCTCCAGTTGAACGCACCAAGTAGCTCATACCCTTCCGTGACCAGCCTCTCCAACTCCATGCCTTCGGCGTTACCAAAATCGAATCTTTTGCCAAAAACGCTTATCATCACGTTGTTCAGAGATCCAAAGTGCAGAACTTTCTTCATCCCCACAACCCCATTCGTCTCCATGCTTGCCATTACGTCTTGGATCATTTGCTGACCGATGGCCGTCCTGTCCTCCCCGAAGGCGGCAATCCTCGTCGGACTGAACAGATAGGTGGCGGAGATCCTCCTGAGATTGCGCCAGTACTCGCCGAAAGGCGCGAAGCCCATTGCCCGGTGGAAGAGGAGCTCGTAGGCTGATTCCTTGACAGGGCGATCGGCGAAGGCCGAGCTGTTGAGGATCTCCCGGGCTGTGTCGGGGTGGCTTGACACGACGAAGCGTGTGAAGCCGAAGGAGAAGGCCATCAAGTCGGAGGCTTTGAGCGACTCGGCGAGCCTGGCGAGGACCCGGTGCGCGGCGGAGCCGGAGAGGGCGAGGACCATGCCCGGGGGTCCGGGGATAGATCGGCCGGCTCTGGAGAGCGCCCACGCGATGCCGCCGGGGTAGAGCCAGAGGACAGAGATGGCGACGACGATAACGGCGGCAATCGAAGGCAGAGCCGACGCATTCGGGAGAAGGAATAGGTAGAAAGCAGAGTCCGCCTGGGAGGAACCCATTGACGAAGGCGGATCAGCGGAGCAAGAAAGGTGAGATATTCGAGGGATTAGGTAGATGGGCGTGGAATGGGGAGGAGAGCGAGATACGGGGATGCGAGGGACGAAGAGCGTCAGAGCGAGCGGTTATATAGCAGTTGGAACTCTCCGTTTCAAAAAATAAACCCCGATTAATTTTATATTCGCCACTCACCTGCGGTTAAAGCCTTCGGGTTACGGAAAGTTACGTTGGTATCTGCCTCCAGATTCTGTGTAGAAATACGCATTTGCCCATGAGGGCAGCCACGACTTCCGTTTCGGAGCGAGGGCTTTTCAGTCTTTTTACCGGTGACGGGATCGGAGCACCGAGCGTCACGTTTACCGGAGTGATGGACGGTCACGCAGTGGCGGAGAACGGACAGTCTGGATTGCAGGCGCCCGCAGGAAGGACACGCGTCGACACATCAACGGGAAGCCCGTTCCGCCAACTGGAAAGCCGTGCTTTTTGTCACTCCCGGTGAACTACCCACTCATCTACCCGGTCTGGCTGCTATATACAAAAGGGTCTGTAGAGTAATTTAGCCTGCTCTTAATACATTCATTCGATAACCCGAAGATTAACCTTTCTTATGAATCGGAAACTACGTGTGCCCCACTTCGGGCCCGGTCTTTTAACCAAGCACACGGGAACTACTCAGACGGCAATGCGCAAACGGGTGTGCAGCGAACTTTTGCTGCGTCTTCTCCGCTGAAGGCGTAACTGTAAGGATGGGGACACGCGACGGCGGAGGCGGCAGAGGGGAATGGGGCCCACGGCGGTGGGCGGCGGCGCCTCGCGATGCGCCGGCGCATGGAGCTACTAAAGTTTAAGAGGCAGCGGCGGAGGCAGGGGCCCACCTGGGCACGGTATCCGATGCGTCCCCACAACTGTCCCGCTCGTGATGGTTCGTGTGCCGTCGGCGAACGGCACGCTGCACGCGGCCGCCCGTTCCTCTCCGCCGTCACCGACGCCCTCAACTCCTTGACGGAGCAGCTGAGACGTTATAACAGGTGACGACGCCCACGAGGCTCGTTTGAGGCGGGGGGGTTAACACAACTCGTCCCACCCGTTCCCAGTTTTACACCGCGCCGGGGCCTGCTCGCGCGGCCTTAGATTTGGCGGCAGGTGAGCGACACGAGGAGGACATGGATAGGTGGCGGTCCCGCGGGGCGGGGCCGGAACTCGGAGCCGTGACATGATATGACGGGAGGCGGTGGTGGTGGCTGGTAAGGCGTTGCAGGCAATGGATGATGCAGGAGGAGGAAGGTGTGGAGGTAGTACAACAACAGTGGCCGCCGCGTTTGGTGGTGGTGCGTGGGGGTTTGGTGGGTGGGTGAGTATTATTTGCATTGATGAGGCGTCTTGTTGTTGATTGTGACCGTGGTTGGGCCATGCAGCAGCAGCAGCAGCAGCATCCC